ATGTTGACGTGTTCAATACTTATTTTACCCGCTGTATTTTGTTTTTAATTGGATTTATTGGAGGTAATTTTCAGGGTTTTCTATTTTATTTTTTATTTATTTTCTTTAATTGTACAAGATTCTTATGTTGAAGTTTAAAAAATTATGTAACTCACTGGTTAATAATAAATGGGACCAGTCTCTCTCATAGGTACTGTTGTTGACTATTGTTTACGGTTTGACTTGATCAAGAACTTTAAGATTTCATACTACAACAAAAGTAATAGAAGTAGTATTCTAATATCATATTGGGTTGATATCTGTATTAGCCAGTACTCAAGGCTGAAATATTAGTATCGTATTGGATGTGAAAAGGTTTTATTGGGACACCCCAAGAAAAATTTCCCAATTATTCTCAACTAAACTCAAGTGAAATTATTTTTGAAAAACTTCCAAATTGTAAGTACTTTCAGTATTTAGGTATTTTTGAAAGTACACACTCCAGTACATTAACTTAATAACATGACATAACTACTTTTACTTGAGTAATATTTGACCAGTAGGATCAGTACTTTGATTCAAGTAAGGAAACTGAGTACTTTGTCCACCACTGAGTGCAGCCCCTTGGCTAACGACTTAAAGGAGCTACAGAAATAAATTTTATTTGGTTGTGACGTGGTCCATGAAACAAATCTAGCACAGACATTATCCTGAAGCAGTTTGAAAAAGCTGGGTCTAACATTTACCTTTGTTTTATTGTGTCTGAGGTTTGTTCTTTTGTAGTTGATGAGTTGCAGGTTAAATTCCAAGAGATAAAGGGATCTAAGACTGAACTATTGTGAGCCATAAATCGTCACGGAGCACTGGTTAATCTTGTTCCTCAAGAATCTTTGCTACAAAACTTTAAACAAGGAAATTAACACTAAAACAACAAAACCTTTTCAGAGTGGAAAAAAACAGTACATGAACGGTGATTGTACCAAACCTTTCAGACAACACACAACGATATAGAGAATGAGTAAAAAACAAGTTTAAGTAACTTTAAATAAACAACAGTCTAGAATGTCTTCTAATGTTAAAAACATTTTCATTACACCTATGACAAGTATAAATTTGGTTACTTATGAAACAAATTACAACACTGGTAAATGACAGTAAGATATGAACCTTGAACCCATTTATAATCTTCCAGAAATGTTTTTACAGGCAACAGAGTTTCTCTCCTAGTCTTTTAAAAAACACATCTTATTTCTAATACACAATCCAATATGCTGCTGCTTGTATCTAATCTCCCATGTTTGAGGCTTTAACTTCACCAATCCATCTTTATTTTTCAGAAACAAATGTTAATAATTGTGACCAAACAACCTTGTTAGGCTGTAGGACAACACAACACTGGTGTAGTTATAAAAAAAGAGTGATTCCCTGCTTGAGGAAGTTATTTGACAGGTATCATTTAAACTGGATCCAACTCTCACATATATCTATTTATTAAGAGTTAAAATAATTTTTTATAAGGTATCTAGTTATTTCAGCAGTGTCTTGAACAAGTTTGAATTAACAACCTTGATGATAATTTTAAATATGTATGTTACCTTCTTTAGTCAAAATAAACATGAATTTTAAGAGCTTTTGTTTATCTGGTCTATAAACTATGGGCACTATGWCAAATTTAAATGAAAGCTATTTAAATAACAACCGAACTTTAACGTGATGTAGGCTAGTAAAAGTTTAATTTAATAAAAGCCGTTTAATTTCTCACCAATGACAGAGGAAGCGCCACTCAGCAGAAAGAGGACCGTGAACGCACCACGCAACAGCATGTTTCAGACCTGTCGTCCCTTTTCATCAATCTGGACTTCCTCTTAACGATTGAGAGACAAAGGTTCATTCATTGGCCTCAGTTTCTCCTCGTTTTTGAAAAAAATAAAAAATAAAATAAATCGGTCTACAGGTGAGTTTGTTGGTAAATCACTTCGCAAGATTCACCTGAAACATTCCGTCAACGAGAAATGAGTCACCTCACCTACGTTTCCCTAACCTATGAACTACCTGGATTAAAAAAAAACCACACACACATGCACACCTGGAAGACGTCGCCGGGTTCCACTTTCAAAATAAAAGCGTAAATTGGCGTATTTTGCTTTAACAAGTTTATTTTAATAATAAAACGTGTCTTGAACTTGAAAACATCCTTATTTGACCATTAATCAATCAGTTTGCCTATTTAAAGGTGCCAAGCCTAACTTCTCTGTGCCTTCATCTTCTACACAAACAGACAAGCAAACAAAAATTAAAGTAAATGTAACCAATATCTGAGAAATTATTAAACAACTTCACCAAAAATCCAACACATTTAATAATCAAAAAGCATCTATGCAGGTTATAAAATAACACTATTAAATGACAAAAATTTAGAATAAAAATAAGTTGAAAACCTAATTAAATAAATTGCGCATCAAATAATAAATTAAATTGAACAAATACATTCAAATCAGGGGCGGTTTTAGGGGCGGGGCCACAGGGGCATTGGCCCCAGCTGAGATCTGATTGGCCCCCTGGTGCCCCTGTCCTGTCACTCATCCAAGAAGTTAGAGAGTTTCTTCTACTCACGTTGAAGT